ATTGCAATCATGTGGGTCACCGCCGATATGGGTTCATTTTAGCTTAATCTTCTCATTCTGGGAACCCTAGCTTTTTTTTTTCTGAGAATGTTTTTGTTTTCAACGATGTTGCGATTTTGTTTGCGTGTTTGGAGATGTCATAAATTATTATGTTTTGTTATAAGATTTGTGTTTTTACCTTACTCGATCCATGTCTGGTCCTAGGGCGGCAGCTTATTTTCGTTTCCTCGCTGGTAGCTTCTAGGGTTACCCAATAGGTTGGCGTTGTGGTAAAACGAGTGTGTATGCTTCTAGCTTGGTGATATGCGACTTAGGATGTGTTTTTATGCTGCAGGTTTCGAGGAATAATTCGGAATTCGGACAGTTAAAGAATGCGTTGATTAATGCATATTATCCCGTCAATAAGGGCGGAGTTGGTGGTGGAGGTCAGTTTGTTTCTGCTTTTGGTCATCAATCTTCATGTGTTATTTGAGATGTCAAAATGTTTTTATTGCCAGATGTCAATCGTCATGCGTGTGAAGTCAATCTTGCATGGTTTAAATCATCTGTATGTCTATTTTCTTATCCTCCTTCTTGCTCTGCAGTATATAAATTATTGACGTCTCAGAAGAGATATCAGTCCAGCTATGTCGGTAACCTAGCTCGAAGAGTGCGGGATGCAGATGAGGCCAGTGAAGTTGCTCATCTTAAAGAACTCTTCCGGCGAAACGATCCTGAAGCTGTCATAAGATTATTTGAAACTCAGCCATCGTTGCACCACAATGCTACTGCCCTTTCTGAATATGTTAAAGCATTGGTGAAAGTTGACCGGCTGGATGAAAGTGAACTACTTAAGACATTGCAGAGAGGTGGTTTTATCACATTTGTTTTGTTTTAGTTTTATTGTTTCCATCTATCTTCTCTCTTATTTATTTTATATCTGTGTTTATCTTACGTTCGCTTTTCCAATGGTTCACAAATTTTACATTTTAGGGTGGTATCAAGAAGCTTCATCGTGTTGTGCGAATGCTGAATGAAATTGCTTATGCACGCCCCCCCTCCCTCCCTCCCTCCCTCCCTCCCGTCCATCTCAAAAAGATGTGAACTTTCGAGTGACGTATGAGTCTTTAACTAACATGTATTTGGCTTATTTTTGTAGGCATTTTAAATGCATCTAGGGGAGAGGGAAGCATTGGTAGCATAGCGGCTTTCAGTAATGTTGGTAAACAGTCAAAAGACGGTATTCTTGGAACCTCAAGTGCTCCCATCCATATGGTGGCGTCTGAAGGGGGGCAATTTAAGGAGCAGCTCTGGCGTACAATTCGCACTATTGCACTAGCCTTTCTATTGATTTCTGGTGTAGGAGCACTGATTGAGGATAGAGGAATTAGCAAAGGTTGGTTTCTCTGTTCTTGAACGGATGTATTATAGAAATATGTATTGGAATCAGGGAAATAATATCTTCTTTGATCATCTTAACTATATAGGTCTGGGTTTGAATGAAGAAGTGCAACCTAGCATGGAATCTAATACAAAATTCAATGATGTCAAGGGTGTGGATGAGGCTAAGGCAGAGCTTGAAGAAATTGTTCACTACCTTCGAGATCCCAAGGTAAATTTACGTTTTCAGTTTATAATTTTATAGGCATGTCCCTTTTCTTGTGACTGCATTATCACCAGCTGAGTTTGATGTTTTATTCTATTCGTCATTTAATTTATATCAATATCCATCATTTCTAGCTAGTTCTCGCAATGCTCTAAATACTAGGCTATACACTGCGGTTCTCACCTCCTTCAGCAGTTAATTTTTTTAATCTTATTTTAATTGATTACCCTATAGCGGTTCACTCGTTTGGGCGGCAAACTTCCAAAAGGTGTTCTACTTGTTGGTCCACCTGGAACTGGCAAGACAATGTTAGCAAGAGCAATTGCTGGAGAAGCTGGAGTACCATTCTTTTCCTGCAGTGGCAGTGAGTTTGAAGAGATGTTTGTTGGTGTTGGGGCTAGAAGAGTGAGGGATTTATTTTCAGCTGCAAAGAAGAGGTCACCATGTATTATTTTCATTGACGAGATTGATGCCATTGGTGGAAGCCGTAATCCCAAGGACCAACAGTACATGAAAATGACTCTTAACCAGTTACTCGTTGAACTTGATGGTTTCAAGCAAAATGAAGGAATAATTGTCATTGCGGCAACCAACTTTCCAGAGTCTTTGGACAAGGCGTTAGTAAGACCGGGTCGATTTGATCGGCATATTGTTGTACCTAATCCAGATGTTGAAGGACGAAGGCAGATCCTGGAGTCACATATGTCCAAGGTAGAATTTTCTTCGTTCCTAACTACTACTTTTGTTTTAGAACCTGTGTGTCTCAACCATGTCTGCCAGTGCTGAGTTATACTGAACGAGTAATATAGTCGTATAGCATGCTGTAGTGATGGTAAGGTACAATAGTCATGCTTCATGCTGCTTTATGGCTTACGCCTCTACCCTTTTCCAATATGAGGACGTGCATTGATTTTTACTCATGTCTTAGATATTATCTGATGATATTTTGACCATGATCTCAATCTCGTCTTATTATCCGTCAATAGTTTAATTTATGCTATACCAATTTTCTGTATTTTTTAGCTAGGCATGAACCTTGTCCTCAAGGACACTTGTACAACTTTATAGAACAGATACTGCTCAAGTAAGGTTGTAATCTGAACCTCTTAACATCAAATATTGTTCTGAGATCGAACTTCTGTCCTTGGTTAGGTTTTGCGGTTGGAAACCTATTTTGTCATAATTTTTTGTTCATTTAAATCTTAGCAACATTTTAGCCAGCTAGGGCCATCCAGTATTTTAGTTCCAGGTATGCTTTTTATGCACAGTAATTATGATTATGACATTACTTCTACAGATATTGAAGGCAGATGACGTCGATATGATGATCATTGCTAGAGGAACTCCTGGTTTTTCTGGTGCTGATCTTGCAAATTTAGTCAACATAGCTGCTTTAAAGGCTGCAATGGATGGTGCTAAAGCAGTGAGCATGGATGATCTGGAATTTGCAAAGGACAAGATTATGATGGGAAGTGAGCGCAAGTCTGCTGTCATTTCTGATGAGTCGCGAAAATTGACTGCATTCCATGAGGGTGGGCATGCCCTTGTGGCAATTCACACCGATGGAGCGCTCCCAGTTCATAAGGCCACAATTGTTCCAAGAGGAATGGCTCTTGGCATGGTTGCACAATTGCCTGATAAGGATGAGACTAGTGTCTCCCGGAAACAGATGCTTGCCCGTCTCGATGTTTGCATGGGAGGGCGAGTTGCAGAAGAGCTCATTTTTGGAGAAAATGAAGTTACTTCTGGTGCCTCATCTGATTTGCAACAAGCAACTTCTCTTGCTAGAGCTATGGTTACCAAGTATGGAATGAGCAAAGAAGTTGGGCTTGTCGCTCACAATTATGACGACAATGGGAAAAGCATGAGCACAGAAACAAGGCTTCTTATTGAAAAGGAAGTGAAGAACTTCTTAGGAGCGGCGTATGCCAATGCAAAAACAATTCTTACCACCCATAACAAGGAGCTCCATGCCCTTGCAAATGCTTTGCTCGAGCATGAAACACTCTCTGGTAGTCAGATCATGGCTCTTCTTGCACAAGTAAACTCTCAGCAGCAGCATCAACAACAACATCAACAATTAGTTTCCACTCAGAGTAGCTCACAGTCCAACCCTGTGCCACCCTCAGCACCAAACCCTGCTGCATCTGCGGCCGCTGCAGCCGCGGCCGCAGCGGCAACTGCTGCAGCCAAGGCGAAAGGCATTGCTCCTGTTGGATCTTAACAGTATGATCCCTTTCAGTTGCGCTCTTTTTTCCTATTCATTGTGAATATAGTAACTTCCCTGCTGCCTTGTTGTCTCTTTTTTGGGTGATTGTAGCTGCCACTAAGATTATGTATCACTATGCATCTAATTGTCGATTGCTAGCTGTAGAAGAGGTGAATGCAGTCAGTGTTAGCGGTTAGAGGAGTTCATTGTCTTTTCTTTATGCTTCTCTTCCATTGTTTCGATACTTAAAAAATAATTTTCTCACATACATACGTTGAAAAGTACTTATAAGGCTCCCATCTCAGTTGCTTCGTTGGTGCATGCATCTGCCTTTGATTTATTTCTGGATGCTCGATTCTTCTCAACCTTTAGTTCTTTTCTTTTAATAATATCTTTTCTTATTCAGATACATTCCATCACATTTTTAATGATGTTCATTTCAAATAATCCTAGCTTCGAATAAGATAATATTTTAAACTATCTTTCCATTTGCAAATCACATAATTTTACAATGAACTTTCTTGATTTCTATACTGGGTTTACGCAAGACAGGGAAAATAAGCTAATGAGCTGCTCTAAAGGGTACAGATTTCTTCACTAGAATTTTCCCTCTTGCATGACCATCATCTGTCAAGGACTTTTGAGCTGTGTTCCAGGTTGCCAAGGAGACTGATCTTTGACATACCTGTTGTGAGCTTGTCTTCATCGTGTTAATCAAACAACGTATTTGATGTGGGTTTCCCGTGGAAAGTGCCACTGGAGAATTAGATAATTTGATCCAGTCTGACAAATGAATTGGATGGTTCACGCTTTTCATGCTTTTGTGAACTTGCTTTATAATCTAGTGAAAATTTGGTAGGAATTATCTAGTACTATGTCCTAAAGAATACTTCGTTCTCATATTCAACCGATAGTGAGATCTCAATCCACCCCTTCAGGACTCAATGTCCTGCTGGCACTCATTCCCAACTGATGTGAGATCTCAAACCACTCTTTCAGGGCTCAATGTCCTGCTTGCACTCATTCCCCTCTTCAATCAACGTGGATCTCAAAATTTACTTTTTGATGTTGACATTCTCATCAGTATTTTGATGAAATCCGTATGTTGGTGAAAAACAGAACACAATTTGTGTAGCCATAAATGTCAACAGATTCGATCAAATATAAAGAAATATCGACTCATATTGCTCTACTCACCCATATAACTTAGTATTCGTCCTGAAAATAAGGAAGGAAATTTAGATAATACTGATGGAGAGCTTTCATTAAGATGTATATCCTCCTGCCTACAAAATGTTGAGAGGGACAACAACTCCGTTAGCAGAAGCTGCGAGATACGGCTGCTATATAAATTAAGTACGTCGCTAGGCAGTGATAGTTCTTGGCTTGACTCCAATTTTTCTCCATGAAACACTTGGCATTATTTGTTTGGTGTCGACACGATCCTTATACTTGATAGCAAAGTTGAGCAATGAATCAATAAGAGAATCTGACAGAAGGTATGGTTTTAGACCCAACTCTACGAGTTTGGTGTGCTTGGCATTGTAGTAATGTTCCTCTGCCTCTACCCTTGGATTTGGCACAGATATGGTCTGGACATCTAACCCGAGCTTCTGTCCTGCTTTCGTGACAAGAGCAGCAAGTTCATTGACAGAAAACTGTTCTGTAAATTGATTGAAGACACGAAACTCTCCCGGGTTCGCTGGATTTGCAATGGCGAGTTCTACGCACTGCACTGTATCTCTTATGTCAAGATATCCTCGAGTCTGGAAACATGACCAGGAAAAACAGATATTAGTCAAGAAATGATATCAGAAGCTAAAATGAGCTCGAGTTAATAATAATTCTAAAGGGAAACTAGTCATGTATCATTGTTAAATGACAATTGCTTCAAAGAAAACTCTTCATCGCTGTGGATCATACCTGACCGCCTTTGCCATATACAGTGAGTGGATGACCAACAGCAGCCTGAACACAGAAACGGTTCAATGCAGTCCCAAACACCCCATCATAATCAAATCTGTTATACAGCTCTTCATGCATTGCGGTCTCGTCTGTTCGTAATCCATAAACAACCCCTTGGTTTAAATCCGTAGCTCTGATCCCCCAAGCCTTGCAAGTAAAAGCTATATTGTGTGAATCATGAACCTTACTTAGATGATAGAAAGAACTTGCTTGCTTGGGGTAAGGTAGAGTATCTGTTCTTCCATTGTGAGTTATAGTAATGAAACCTTCTTCAATGTCAATATTGGGAGTCCCATATTCACCCATAGTCCCCAGCTTCACCAAATGACAGTCTTCTCTAAACTCCTTAATAGCAAAAAGCACATTGAGAGTTCCAATCACATTGTTGTGTTGAGTAAATACAGCTCTTGATCGATCAATCATGGAATATGGAGCAGAACGTTGCTCACCAAAATGGACAACAGCATCAGGTTCAAATGATTTAAAGGTTTCTGCTAAGAACTCAAAGTCACAAATATCACCAATGAAGAGTTCAATAGTCTGCCCAGTTAAAGATTTCCAGCAGCGAATGCGATTATGGATGGAGGAAATAGGAGTCAATGAGTCCAGACCAAGCTGATGGTCAAAGAGACGGCGAACAAGGTTGTCAACAATGGCAACCTCATATCCTTTCTTGGAGAGGTGAAGAGCAGTAGCCCAACCACAGTAACCATCTCCGCCAATGATCATCGCCCGCTTTGCCTTGGACGATCGACTTGACCCATCAAGAGATCCAGAGGTGGATTGAGTGGTGGGGGCTTCCTGGCTCGTTGGAAGTGTGGTTGCTCGGACAACACACTTTCTTGCCAGTCTCTTTTCATGCCAGACAAGCCTTGGCATTAGTGATTTACATGTTTTTGAAGTCAATGATGCAGAAAACAAGGTTAAACTCTCATTTGATGGTTTAAAGTAAGATTTCTTGCTGGAGGAGGAGATCTTCAAACAGCATGAAGTTGAAAGAATATGTGCCATATCAACGATCACGCAATACTAATTCTCTTGAACCTGCAGAGACAATGCTCAATTAGTCAAATAACAAATGGCTGCTACAATGGTACTTCAGTTAGGATTCTTGTTTCTTCAATAAACCCTCATAGAAGAAATATGTGAGAATGAAATCGATATCCCCACAGCCGCAGAAGCAAAAAAAAAAAAAGCGCAACTTGTTCTTTCTCTTTGCATTGGGACTCACATTCGTGGGGTATTCCGTAAGAATCAGAGTGATAAAACAACACTTCAACACAACACCAAATAGAATAACAAAAGGGATTTCTTCATGAACCAAAGAACCAAAAACTTCAGAGTCATGGACTGAGGGGTTCAGCAAAAATCTCTATTGGGGCATTTAGACAAACACCTAAGCTGCATAGCTGAAGTATGATGGAGAACAAGCATGACCCACAACAACAAAAACAAAAATACTCAAATCCCCATATCACAAATGAAGATTCATCCTCGAATTTTCCAGAACGATCATTTTCAGGAAAAAAAAAATAAAACATTCGAGGGGAGGGTTTGGGAAAACCGCAATTCAATCAGTCGGAAGAAATCTTCAGAAACGGTCACTTACGGCGGTGAAGCTGATCCAAATGTTGAGAACTGTGAATAATTTGGAGTAGGGAGGAATTGGTACTGAGAAGCAACACAACTTTTGGCTCGCTGTCTTGGAGGAGCTAGAATCTAAATCGTGGCTAAGAGCATATTCGGCTTATCCTGCCGTTCGCATATTCGACCCTATTCCCTTTTTAAATGTAATAATTTTATTTTTCAATAAAACATTATATTTTAAAAATGTTTAAATATATAATTTTGTATTTTTTCTCTCATATTTTATCTTTTAATTCTTTAAAAAAGTTTATTCTAAATTTGATATTTCTATGGTCGAGTCCACACCATGCATACGTAACATATGATACTCCGTATATCTTCGAGCTCCATATCTATTTTTGTTTTAAACGAACATTATTTTTAAATATAAAATAATAATATGTGTATACATTTAAAATTTTACTAAATTACAAAATAACAATTTTTAATTTTTTTTATTATTTATGTAATTAAAAAAATTAAAAGGAAGATCTCGGAAGCTTAAGTTCAAAGGAGCGGGAAGCTATTATATGTCATAAATCTGACACGAGAGGTTATTTATTTATTCACTTAATAAATAGATAAAAATTGGAAGAAATAAATGTATTAGGAAAATTTTAATATTTTAAATGTGAATTAATTTTAGTATAGGAAAATTTCAATCAATTTCATTGTATTCACCAAAAGGTAAAAAGTAAAAAGTAAAAAGTAGAAGAAAAAGAAAAAGCTAACTTTTTACTGACCAATCACTCCTTCTCACAAACCTCAAATTTTTTATCCTTTTTTTTAATATCTCTAAAAAAAATACAAAAAATAGAAAAAACGGATAATATATATAATATTTGTTACCGACTAATTAGAGAGTGAATATCCAGATTTTAATCCGGAGATCAACTTTGCAGGCGGCGTCAAGAACAGAGGCCACCGTCGGCGATTTCCCCTTCGGCGGAGTTCCTTTAATTCCTTCACACGTTACTCTGATTCCCACCTTTTTGCTTTTCACTTTGCCGATTTTCACGTTCACTTTCGTGTCCATTTCGATCGTCAGAGGGGCGCCTCCTTTCTTCTTCAGATCCGATCTGAGGTTCGTAACGGAATCCGCGTCCAGATCTCTGGCGCCGGATATTAGGGCTCGGAATACCGTCTGGTTATTGGTGGCGCTGGTGAACGCTGGGATCGAACCATTGCCGAGGAGAACAGAATGGGACAAACAGGACAGAGTGAAGGGGTCGTATGAGAATGTGATGTGGGAATTAGGGTTGAAGGATGAGAGAGTGAGATTGAAGAGAGACGAGAGGTATGAAGCGGAGGAATCCGCGGCAATTGTGAGATTGAGCTTTGAAATTCGGAGGGAGGAGATTGTAAATTGAGGACGGTGAGGGCGGTACAAGACGTAGAGGGCGGCGCCAGTAATTGCGGCTAGAAGCGCTAGCCCTAGGACAATGATGATGGTCCAAAAGCAGAAACAGCAGCAGAGATTGCGGCGGCTACGGTGGTGATTGCGGCGGTGTCGGTATGGTTGTTGACGGAATTGTGGTTTGGAAGATGAGGCTGGCGCGGCGCCGTTGACGGCGGGTTTGGAGGTAGGGTGAGCGGCGGCAGACATGGTAATTGAAGAAGAAGAAATTGGTTGAATGCTTCTCTGCAACTCGGAATCTGTGAGTTGCTTGGATTAGTTCCTATCTTTCTAAAAATAAATAAATAAATAATTAATTAATTTCTCCTTCTCTTTTTTTCTTCAACCTAAATTCCAATCTTCCGTTTTAAGCCTTCGTGTTGCTGATTCCTTTTCTCCCATCTAAACCCAACTTATTATCCAAAATTTATGAAAATTAGAGGATAATTATAAAATATTTTTAAAAATTTTATAGTATTAATTATTTATATTGAAAAAGTAGAGAGAGATGTTAAATTTTTCTTTAGAATTATTGTATGATTAAAAAAATTTAAAGTCCACAAATATAAATAAGAAGAAAAAAAAGTAAAAGAATGGAACTTTAATTAAAAATGAGAACTCAAAAAAAAAAAAGGAAATAGGTGACGTGGATAGTGAAGACACGTGAATGGACAATGTTACAGAAATGGGAGGTGGGATCACACGCGGTTACAACTACAATTACAATTACACTTGCAAGCAGTTGATTGGACGACAGTAAATATAAATAAATATATGTTTTAAAAAAAATAAAAGAGTGGGGCCCAGTAATTAGCTTACTAATCGTAATCAGTAGGTTGGATTTGCTTAAACAAAAAGGCAACAAATTAGAGTATTGAATTAATGTAATTAAAAAGGTGAGATTTCCTTTCCGCCATATCCAAATCCAAATCCAGTAAAAGCAACAATGTAATTTTTTTTTTTCACTTGAACCACCGACACTTTTCAATAAATAAATAAATAAATAAAAATAGTTATAATATGCAAGAATTTACAATTATTATAAGCTTTGATTATACCAAAAATTCTTTTGATACTTAGCTTATGATATAAAAAATCAAATAATTTTATTTTGAAATTCCTTTATTACTTTATTTTCTATGTCCATAGTTGTCACAACTTTCTTGAACAAAAATCAAAGCATAAATATTCCTTATATTTCTTTTAAAAGTTATTATATATTTTTTCTTTAATTGTTTTTAAAGAGTTTGAACCAAAAAAAATAATAAAAGAACGTCTTAAGTGAAATAAAATTAGAAATTAGAGACGAAACATAAATTTAAAAAATCAATGCAAGACACATGAGAACTAAGCCTCGAGCCGGGAGGAAGATAACTAATTGGATCTTCATGGGCCTATGACAAAGCCCATGAACATGGCCTATTAATTTGTATTTGGGCCTGACCCAGCAGTTTAAATAGGCCCAAACCTTGGCCCTTTAAACTTTAAAGCTTCTCCAATCGGCCAGCCTGTTGCCATTTAAATTTTCTGAAGCACGTTACTTCAATCACAATTAAGCATCAAATTCCCACATTAATTATCTTTTTTCGCCCTAAATCTATCAATTTCCGAATTAAATAATAATAACTAATTGTCGTTATATTTTCATATTTACTTCTTAAATCAAAACGGCGCTAGTGGCGTTTTCCCCCACGTGCAACATGAGATCCGACGTCTATTTACCAAACTACCCCTACTACCCCCACTCCTCATACAATGACCTGTCTGTCAGATTGTCGGGATGGAGCAATAAATGACAGCTTATGGGATGGGTGTTATGGAGGGACGTAACTGGAAACGAATTTATCAACATTGGTTACGGGAAATAGGTGAAGGCCAAACTTGAGGGGCATTAAAGAAAAGAATACAGGAAATTAAAGTTACAAAGAGGGATATTTAAAACAGTAGGTCTATTTTTTCTTCTTCTTTTAGGGTTTAGATGGTGGAGTCCAATTTATATGAAATTTCAAACTAATCCTTGAGAATATCAAAAATTAGAAAACCCCGCCCCAAGAGAGTTTGAAATTACTTTTTGTTTACCTTGTCTATTTCGCGTTCCCTCTGCTGATCATATCTTTGTACTTGAGAATGGATTCCAGCCTCTGTAATTTCAACTGTTGCTTGAATTTGTTGATGAAGTCGTCGGCCCTTGCGTCTACTCCCTCGTCTATCTCCGCCATTTTCGCTCTTCCTTCATTCACTGTGGCCGGACGGCGACTCTCCACGATTTCATCTGCTTCGAAATGCGAGAATGCAGATTTCGAACTCGCTGATTTCTTCATTTTCCTCGGCAGTTTGGTTGGAATCTCACCGGCAGTCGGCTTTGTGTCGGATTTTGTCCTGGTGAAGTGATCGCCATGGAGTTTACTGTAAACCTCGTCCATCGTCGGTTCTTGATCTTCGTCTATTTCTTCATCCTCCGCTCGTTTCGGCGCCGCCTCTTCCCGCCCGATCTGGACCTCCTCGATTTTCTGAACCGCAGTAACAGACGGATGCGTATATTTAGAAGACTCCTCCGATCTAAAGCCATAGAAGTTAAACTTGAGCCGCTGAAGCATAGAAGGAGACCTAACGAGTTGCGGATGTTCGAACTTAGCATAATGAATCTCGTTTGCAGGCGGTTTCTCTACCACAGTTGCCGGCAGTGGAGAGTCGAAAGACTCCTCGGATTTGTAGCCTGAGAAGCTAAACTTAAACCGCTGAAACACAGAAGGAGACCTAACGAGTTGCGGATGTTCAAAACTAGCATAATGAGTCTCGTTTACAGGCGATTTCTCGACCACAGTTTCCGGCGGTAGAGATTGGAAAGACTCCTCCGATTTATAACCTGAAAAACTAAATTTAAACCGCTGAAGCACAGAAGGAGACCTAACGAGTTGCGGATGTTCAAAACTAGCATAATGAGTTTCATTTCCAGGCAGTTTCTCGAACAGAGTGGCCGGCTCTTCGGATCTATACGAATAAGGATTAAACGATTTGAGCCTCTGAAGCATAGACGGCGATCTGTGGAGGTACTGAAGCTGGTCAGGATCGGAAGGATGGCGGTAATTTTTTTGAGGGCCACCTAAGTTGGAAGCAATAGCAATGGTGCCGATCACGAGGTTGAGAATGACGAAGAGAACAGTGGGGGTGAACCAACTGTTGATGGAGGTCCATATGGAGAGGGTGGAAGAAACAGATTCGGCGAACATGGCGGAAACAAGGCAGAGAAGGAGGAGAGGAAATGGGAGAGATTCGATGGAGAAGAAGATGAAGAGAAGGCATAGCGAGGGAGTGGGTTTTGGTTATTATTATTATTGGGTTTGGACATTTTCGGAAAGTCAAATTTCTTTTCTTTTCTTTTTTTTTTTAAAAGGAGGATTATAGGGGCACGCATTTTTCGGGGACGTACGTGGTTGTTTTTTATAGGTCTGTGAGAAACGGACAATAGAGAAAGAGGTAATGTGTGGGATTTTTTTTTTTTTTTAATAAAAAAATCAATTAATTTTTAGGTAGACGTGAGGTCATAATTGGGATTTACTAAAGTGGAGTGATGGGGACAAGGAATCAACTGAAGCCAATGACTAAAAAACGCTGCGTTTTGGGTCATCGCCATAATTTGTCTTAACTCTTAATTAAAGCCATTTTAATTACCTAATCTCATAAAACCGTCCATTTAGTGTTCCCTTAACTGACAACTTCATCTAATACGTGTCTTTTGTGTATGACAAAATATTCCATTTAAAAATAAAATAAGAGGATAAATTAGAGAAAAATAAAATTTTAATGTAATTAGAGCTTCAATTTATTTATAAAATAAATATAGATTTTTAAAATATAATTTTTTATACACCACGTAATATGTATGTGATAAATATTTTATAATTGATTATTAGATCTATTCAACCAATCTTTATCTCCTATACTTACAGATTTATATATTAAATGTCACAATATAAAAGATATGAAATTTAATTTATAAAACTTGAATATATCTCATTTTCGCTTAATAAATAATAAAATAATAAATTATGGGCATCAACCAGTTGACTTTTGAATATAAAATAATATTAAATGTTTGATAATGTGATGAATATTCAAAATTTGAAGTAGTTTGCCTTGTGAAGTACCGACATGAAATATATATTTTATTTAATTTCACATGATACCCCAAGTTACAAGTATTATGGGATCTAGAAGTTGCAAACTATGAGATAAAAACTAACCTAAGGAACAATTATGAAATGAGCTTAGATATTATTTACGTAAAGTTTGCAAAATTTTAAATTTAAATTTATTTCAATTCATATTATTGTTAGGCTAAATGTTTCGGTCTCATCTATACCCGTGTGAGATCTCGTAATCCACCTTCCTTTGAGGTTAGTGTTTTCGTTGACACACTGCCCTGTGTTTTGTTTTGATACCATTTATAATAGCTCCTCACCGTGGAACTCGGTGTGTAATCTTAAAACTGTGAAGCTGACCGAACAATTAATATTTTATTTTTTTATTATTTAAAAAATGGTTTTTTAAAAGAAGAAAAATTGTGAAAAGGGGTTGAAACATGCAGCAGCCGAAATCTACTGAAATTGCTCCCTAGACCTGCAAAAAGAAAACCTAAGCTAAAATAGATTAATAATTATAATATTCGAATATTCGCCGACTTTTAATTACCGTCCATATTATTTTATTATTTATTAACATATATTTATTTAATTATGCTTAAATTGTTAAATACACAAATTATTATTTTATTTTATATAATAATTCATATTGGATTGATTTAGGGCTTTTATGAATGAGGGGCATGTTGGGTATTTCTGTTGCCCTTCACTCGGCCCTGTTTATGGCCCAGGCCCATCTGGTTTCAAAAACAATTTCTTTTTTTTATTTTAATATTCAATTAAAATGGTAAAATGGTAACCTTGGTTTTAAAAAAAATTATAATTTAATCTCTTAGACGAAAAAATTACCACATAAATGCTTATATCAATAAGATGCATAGAGTTTATTATATAAAGTCAAGACGATTCGTAGCTGATACAGCAATGATTGCATTTTTGTTTTGGGCAATTGAGTCGAGCATGTGATGAGGAAGAGCCAGGTTGGTTAAAAACGATGGCTTTTCTAAACAAAAGTTGGGTGTTTTGGATCGTTGTAAAAGTTGTAAAAGTAATGACAAAGAGAAGAAAGAAGGTAATGTTTGAGATGGAGGGGATGTCGTTGATGCTGTTGTGGCTGTGGGCTGTGGGCTGTGGCTGGTGGGGACTGGAAATTTTGAAGGATGTCAGCACTCTGTCCATCGCCCTGTCCTGTCCTCCATAAATTTATTGTCTTTGGCTACACTTGAGCGCTGGCTAGGGCAAGAGGGCAAGAGGGCAAGAGGGCAAGATGCATGCATGTTCATCATCAACACCAATGTTTTCTTTCTTACCCATCTCATTTTTTTTAGACTTTTCATGTTTAATCACATTTTTATGAGGTGGGTGGTTTTGGATTTGGTTATAAGTTATCTCATTCCTGTCTCACGAGTTTATAAATAGTAGGAGTATTCAAAAAACTTGATCACACCTATCTAACATGTATGATTTTAGTTGGACTATGAACTTATTTGAGTTGGGTTAGATTCGAAACCAGACAACTGGAACAAACCTAACTAAAAAAAAATTATGTTTGAGTTGGGTTTGGTTCATTATTTAATAATAATTGTTTGAGTTGGAACAAATGGGTTAAGTCTAAAGAAAATGTCTTGACCCCACCAAACCCAACTCACAAATACTTCTAGAAATTGGTACAAGACCCAACAAGATGATTTAGGTGTTGGATTCAAACATAGGACAAATTACTTGCTTTAATACCATCGAATCAACAAATTTAAGCTCATGGTTTTTTTTTTAGATTTTGGATGAAAGGTTTGAACATCTAACCGGTACGTCGATGGTAGAATGAATTACCGTTAATTTGTACTCACCCTTTCGATGGATTACGATATGGTTAATAATGAGTTTTGAAGAACATTCTGCAAGTGGAGTGTTGTAGCATAGCATAATTTGGTGTCGAATTGTAGCATTCTACACAACCTTTTAGGGTGTCCTTATATGGGAGAGGGGTTTAAAGAAGCTACTCACGTGAAGTGGTTCTTCCCTTTATAAGCCCTCTCCATCAACCCCTTTTGTTCTCTTTCATTACCCTATCACTTACTGCCCACTTTTCTGGACACAAATAATCAACCCATTCTCGCTCTCTCCATCTCTCCCATGAACTCTCTCTATCCATTAATGGCGAAACACGAAGAACAAGATCCCGATCTTAAACTCTATATCTTCCCCTCTACCTCCCAAGTTGCAGCTGCTTCTTCACACCTTGCTTTTGCCACTTGCTTTACTTCTAGTGCCACTCAACATGATCATCAAAGAATGGATCTTCATCATCATCAAAACCAGGCAATTACCCATAACCCCAATCTTCTATCGTTTCAATTCACTCGTGATTTTGATTTATTAAGAATAAGAAACTCCAATATTATATTAGGAGTGAGAAAATTTCATAAATAAGAGTGGATAACGTTTTTATTCTTAACATGACATTAAGGTTCTGATTCTTAACATGATTTTAGTATCATTAGTTTATGGATTTGAACCAACGAGTGATTGATTTGATTGTTCATACAATTTTTTCTAGTTTCTTCCTGTAATTCAATATATTTGAAGATTGATTATTGTTTTGATACATATATATATAGGGTGAAAAAGAAATTGATGGATCAAGAACAGATATTGATCATCAAGAACAGCAACTAGATGAGTATCAAATCAAAAAGCGAGATAATGGGTCAGCTGCAAAATACTGGATGTCTTCAAAGATGAGATTGATGCAAAAGATGATGAAAGTTGGCGGTGGAAATTCAGATCAGGCGGCGGCGGCGGCGGCTGGTAGAAGAAGCAATAATAATGAAGGAAGATCGTGTTGTAGTTCAAATGGTGTTAGGGTTTGCAGTGATTGTAACACCACGACAACTCCTCTATGGCGCAGTGGTCCTCAAGGCCCTAAGGTCATTCCCCTTCTCTATCTGACAAATTACTTTAATTTTACTGTCCCAAAACCCCAAAAAAATTTAACCCTTTTTGTATATTTCTACTACAACTTGACCCATTTCTTTGTTTCTTTCTCATTCTCTCTAGATTTTTCGTAAGTCGTTGATTTCTATAATGACATCGCCTTATTTTTTGTTCATCGTAATGATACATTTAAACTAAGTAAATTATTCAATAATATAAAGATGACATGATACTGTCAGTTTAAGCTTGCATGACTTTGGTTTTGATTTGATCGTTTCTCTTTTGGGTGGCAGTCGCTATGCAATGCATGTGGGATCCGGCAGAGGAAGGCAAGGCGAGCGATGGCGGAAGCTGCAAATGGCGGTGGGCGTGGGGCAGTCGTGGTGGCGGCGGCGTCGGGGAAGGAGTTGTACAAGGAGAAGAAATCACGTTTGAGTTGGCATGGAGATGATGACGATGGTGAGGAAGTGAAGAAGAAGAAGGGCAATAATAGGAATATGGGAGAGAAGTGTTTGGAGTCTCAAAGTGAAGGGAGGAACGACGGTGTTTTACGTTTGAGCAAAAATGGTTCGGCTTTTGGGAGGGTGTTTCCAAGAGACGAGGAAGAAGCCGCCATTCTTTTGATGGAGCTTTCTTGTGGTCTTGTTCACACCTGTTGATTTTTTTTTTTTTTTTTTTTTTTTTTTTTTTTTTTTTTTTTTTTTTTTNTTTTTTTTTTTTTTTTTTTTTTTTTTTTTTTTTTTTTTTTTTTTTTTTTTTTTTTTTTTTTTTTTTTTTTTTTTTTTTCTTCTTCTTCTTCTTCTTCTTTTGTGATTGAATCTTTAATTAATGATGATAATAACTTAAAAGGTTTCTACATTATATAGATTTGAGCTACTAATGGATGATCGATATATTTATTGTTTCTTATCCATTTGTTGGTCGGTTCAAGAATAGTGCCAAATGTAACAATTGCACTCTTGCAATAGTGAGACAGTGATTGTGCGACAGTTGTTCTAACTCAACAGATAAGTAAGTCGTATGAGACAATCTTAACTAGCCTTGGGTCATGTTTATCATAAAATGTTTACCATAATAAGAGTAGATGTGATTTTGGTGAATAGTCATACAACTTGTATTGATCGAATAAAAATAGTAAAAATCAAAATAATATGAAAGCAAGTAAAAGAGGTTTGAAGCAGATGTACACCCCTCGATAATACATATACACTCTGAATAAGTATGGTTAGGACATTCGATAAGTATTCACAAGTAACATGTCTTGGACAAGTATGATCGTGACACTGAGTGGGTGTCACTAGTAGCTTTTGGGGCAACATTTGTCTGATCCTAGACAGATATTCATTATGTATTAAATTTAGGAAAAAATATATATATATATATATATATATATATATATATATATATATATATATATATATATATATATATATATATA